AGTGGCGCATTTGCTTTTTGAGCTGCAGGAAAATCCGGAAAAACCTGCAGCATCACATCATCTGAAGATATTGATATAACAATGTCCTCTCTCATATAAAACAAAATGTAGGGTGTCTCCAGAGGCTCCAATAAATTCAATGCATCGCCAAAACAAAAATATCAGATATTCTGATATTTTTGTAATTTCTTAAATGTATTGGGGTAAACAATATTACTGGAGTTTTATCCCAACACCAAACGGTTACTTTTAACACCTCGACACGTGTTTCGATCACCAAGTGATCATCTCCAAGACGAACATTAAACTAGTTCAGTTTAAGATATAAGGAACACTTAGCACACCTAAAATATGGAAGACCAGAAAAATCAGCAGTCGCCCATCATATTGTTGTGAATCATGCCCGAAAAAAATCAACGCCGGCCGCCACTGGTAACCATAAACCAAACGTGACGTAGCTAAGAGCGCGCGAATGTACGATGATTCCCCGCCACTCTAGAGGCAGCGAGAATAATGCTAAGTACCGATTTCGACGGAATTTCGGCGAAATTTTCTAGTGATTTCGATTACAATATTTAAAGGCCAGCCACAAAGATATCGACACAGTCAAGTGGACGTTACAGTGCGGTACGCGAAGTGATCTAGTAAGGCAATAGACATTCAAATACTAGTTGAAGTTTTACTTGAAGTATTAAAAGTGAAATTAAGTAAAATTTGATTATTCAGTGTATTCAATTATAGGTCAACCCACAGGGAAAAACGTAACAATATTTTGCAACAAAACTAGTCCATAGACATTCATTCATTAAGATAAGTTAGACAAGTTAACAACAACGGGCATTTAGATGCCTATGAGAGTGTAGAAATAAGTGAACATAATGTTACGTTTTTCCTCGTGGGTTGACCAATTATTTTCTACACTGAATAATCAAACTTAACTTTATTTCACTTTAAATACAACAAACACTTCAACTACTATTTGGAATGTCTATTGCCTTACTAAATCACTTCGCTACCGCACTGTAACGTCCACTTGACTGTGTCGATACGCTCGCGGCTAGCGTTTTTATATCGAATGCCCCAGAAATTTCGCCGAAGTAAAACAGAACAATAACCGAATCTAAAGCTGATAACTAAATAGGCGCAAAGCTAGAACAAATGCTCAAAATGACCTCCCTCATATGTGATAATTCTTATTGTCGTCCGGCCGGCTATAATTTGATTCCTTGGGTCATGACTCTTTCGACGGGAGTGGAATGAACTAATGACTCAAGAAAATACCAAATGCAAAAACCTACAGGATTCAAATCCGGCGATCGAGCCAGCCAATGTTCCGTACCATCCTACTGACCCAACGATTTGGATGTATTATATCTAAGTGATAACATACATTGATGCTAAAATGGGCTGGTGCATCATGATGCATGAACTGAAAGTGTTGTCGCAACTGTAAAGGAATTCTTTCAAGAAGAACAGGTAAGAGATTAGTCTACGAGTCGTCTGTTGACCGTTGTGAGAGTAAAAATGAATGTAGTCAGTTCTAATAATATAAATTATTAGTGAAAACTTTGCACTATTCGATGTGTGACAGAAATAGAAGTTGTAGACTTGATAATAATAAACATATTTCATCACAAAAAATACTTACAATCACTAAAAACTCTATATGTCTGTTCTCCTTTGTCCAGCCTTTGGAACGCACTATACCAGGGTGAATTTGAAGGAACTTTCTCGAAAGAAAATGTATAGTTATCTAATTTGACCTTGGCATTCCTACTATATTTCATCTTCTTCTCTTCTGGCTCCTCAATTTTCGTAACTTCTCTTTTGGGGGAACAATCTCCATTGTGCTTCAGTGATTTTATCATAGGCGGTAAATAAGATCCATGATATCTCAACCTAAAAGCAGTTTTAAGATTAGGACGATGAAGATGAAGAATGTGGGTATGAAGTTATGTAGTTAAAATCAATTCCAATTGAAATTTATGTGCATAAACATAAAAAAAACAACATAAAATAAACACTTTATGTTTATTTCATATTGTTAAACATCAACTAATTAAAAAATATGCAAAAGATTTAGAGGCAAAATATAAAAATCACAAAAATAGACTTAATCAATTAGTTACAAAAACTAAAAATGAACACTATCAGAAAAAATTGAAGAGGCAAATGGGGATTACAAAAAACTTTGGAATGGAAACCCACATTCAAGCAAAAAATGGCCAACTCCCGCCAAACGGTCATCTCCCGCTAAACCGGTGAAGGGGAAAGAGGAGATAAATGAAAGTACTCGAATGACCCATAAATAGTCATCTCTTGGAGAAATCAGTCCAGTCATCACCCGAAGACGATTGTGGATACTAACAATCGAAACGTCGTAGAGTAACTTGTCTTGGAAACTCTTAATTTTGTTTTTACACGCTTGATATTAGCTTCACCTGTATGTATGTATGTATGCTTGTTTGTATGTATGTATGTATGCTTGTTTGTATGTTTGTATGCTTGTATGTATGTTTTGCTTGTAACTTGCAAGCTCGGGATCTGTATTGAAAGAATTATCGAAATTATTATTATTGCTTGATCTATTCGCGGGCAGATGGCGCTGTACGTAACTCCTTTATATAATTCGAACTCACTTTACATGTATTTCTTCATTTGAAAAAAGTATTTTTTTATT